GAGAGCCCGTGCATCGGCCCCCCCCCCCCCCCCCCCAGGGCTAAGCAGGAATTTTGACATCTAAGGACTGTACCCCAATTTTAGAACTTAATTTGAATTAGTAAAGATACCCTTTAAGTCTTACAAGGTTCCTTGCGGTACTGGGGGTGTCAAGCCAAAACTCCAATGGGGATTCATGGCCAGGAGATTGGGGCTGCAACAGATGCAAACATAGCCAGGCTGATAAGAAAGGAGGACTCAATCACCTCGGGGTGCCTGACATGAAAAGTATTTGGGGCAGCGGTTCAGCCAATCACATGACTAGGACTCAATCACCTTGGGGGCCTCACTACATTTTAGTGACCTTATGAGACAATATCTAAAGGGCACCTGTTCTTCTATAGCAGACCATGTGCTGCAGACAAGAGAGAGAAGACCACACGGCCCTGGTTTATGTCTTTCTGGTGCTACATCTTAAAGTGGAACCTTCTTGTAGTTGCAGCCGGGAGGCTTTTATTGCAGGAGACACACTGTACATATCTCCTGCATATAAAGATCCCTCGCTTTCTCCGAGCAGGTCTCCAAAGATGGTACGCTAAGCCGAGAACATGCAGCTCCGTGTACAATCTCAGCACGCTAAGCCGAGAACATGCAGCTCCGTGTACAATCTCAGCACGCTAAGCCGAGAACATGCAGCTCCGTGTACAATCTCAGCACGCTAAGCCGAGAACATGCAGCTCCGTGTACAATCTCAGCACGCCTGGGTTCCATCATAAATTAACCTGGCCGGCCAAAGATGCCAAACTCTGAGACTGGACTAAGATGTCAGCGACTACGCCCAATATTGGGTGAAGCATGTCAGAGCGAAGAGGACCCCTGGCGCGACGATGTGTACCTGTGTGCTAAAATAACGTTTTCACCGAAGCTTGCGGCGTGCGACCAGACTACTGATGCTGGAGCAAGACGGGCTTGGACGGGGGTCACCTGCCATTCTCTCTGGTGCTGCTTCGAAGGAGTGGTGATATTGGGCTATGAATGTTAGCGACAGCAAGGGAACTCATGAAAAAATCGCAACACTGAAGGGGAGGAGCAAGTACAGCGGACTTCGGTCCTGCTTTAAGATCTGGAGCGATTGTGTATACGTTATGGCAGATTTAAGAGTTTAAGGCTGGGAGATCTCCAGCCCAATTCTGGACGGTGGGGAAGGGTTAGCCCAGGGGTGGGCAAACTCTGGCCCTCCAGCTGTGGTGGAACTACAAATCCCATGAGGCATTGAAAGATTCTCACAGCCACGACTCCCGGAGAGATGCATCATGGGATTTGTAGTTTCACCACAGCTGGAGGGCCAGAGTTTGGCTACCCCTGGGTTAGTCCGTTGTTGTCCCCTGCATTCCCTATCGGGGAGATGTTCCCATCACTTCCTGTCTTGCTCAAAATAATCGTGACTAGGTGATGCCTTCTACTGACTCAAGTAAACGGTGATACAGCCTTTCCTGCTCCTTTAAACCTTCACATAGACAAAGCCTGACCGGTCATAGCAGGGGTACACCCTAATGTCAGATGCAGCACCTAAAACAACTGCAATGCCTTCCGTAATGCCAACCTGTCCAGTAACACCTGTACCAAATGGCACATTTAGTCCCCGGAGCTGCATACGGCGTCACACCACCAGGCACGCACCTAGAAGGTACTTCACGAACACAAAAATAACTACAATTGCAGCCTAAAAGGCACAACAAAATGAACCTTTTTTTAAAAAAAAAAAAACCCAACCAAGTCCTGTTCCCAGCAGCCTAGTTAACTTAAAAAAAATATATAAATCCATGAAAATCCCACCTACGAGAAAGAAAACATGTTTTATGTCAGGATACCGAGTCATTTAAATGCAACACAAAGATTGAAAAAAGAAAATGCCCAGCACTCAGGTTTGCCCATAGCCAGTCACTGCCGAGATGGTCTTGGGGGTCAGTATTGGGGGAGATGGAGCGAGGCCGCGAGCATTTAATATAATGCAAATAGGTCCAACGAGGCGCGGTGTTTTCCGGAGAGGGGACAGAGAGTCGCAGGTCACGTGATGGTTCTCTGGACTTCGTCTTCGTCTGGGGGGCAGTCGATAAAGTCCGCCAGCATAGATTCGGCATCACGCATTTCCTCCTTTTTTGGGGTACACAGAGAGAAGAGTAATAAGCAACAAAGATGGCATTACCCTGTTGATCCGCCCACCACCCATCCCTGATGTGCTCTTATCTGGCGTGTGTGTGTGTGTGTGTGTGTGTGTGTGTATATTCTATATATAGATTATATATACACACACACACACAATTTATGCAGAGCTTTAAATTCACATCAGTCCCTGCCCTCAAGGAGCTTACAATCTAAGGTCCCTATCTTACACGCATACAGGGCCGACAGAAGCCAGTTAACCTTAGGGCATGTCTTTGGAGTGTGGGTAGACAAAGACGTAGTGAGGGAAATCCCCCCTAAGCACAGGGAGAACATGCAAACTCCTTGCAGATAGTGTCCTGACTGGGACACAAATCAGGGACCCCCAGTGCTTCAAGGCAGAAGGGCTGACCACTCAGTCACTATGCTGCCCAGTTACTAAATGAAGATTGGTCTACAAGCTACCATACCGGTCTTAGACCTTGTACATATGAGCTTTAGTATTTGCAAACGCTTGCTGCACAGATTGCTCTGCCTGAGCATGTGCAAACCTTTGGCCAAGCTTCAAAAAACTTTGTTTGAGCCTTTAAAACAGGGGTCACAAAGTACCAGCCCGCGGACCATTTTCGGCCCACGGGCTGGTTACTTTTGGCTGATAGGGGGGTAGAGCCTGCTCTCCTGTACTGGGTCTGGGCCCCATTAGGTCAGCAGGGGGGCCCAGGGACAGCGGGGACTCCTCATTTGCAGCAGCCACAGTTGCCACCTGTCTGGATTCACCCTTACAGTCACACAAGATATCACGATGTCAGGGGAACAGTTGAATACACAGAGGAGGCAGGAGACTTGGAGGGACGCTAGAACTCGGGGAGCAAGGAGGTGTCTGAAACACAGGGTGCAGATAAGTGTTGAAGGGCATAGGGGTTCTGCTTCAGGCAGATGTGTCGCTCCCCATCTCCCCTGGCTGTCTCTCTGGCCGTCGCTCCTCGCCCCCCCCCCACCCGCCCGCCGCGCCTTCTCCTCGCTCTCACTCCTGGCTAACTCTCCTAACTCTCTCACCTGGCTGTCGCTCCTCACTCTCTCCCCTCTGGCTGTCGCTCCTCACTCTCTCCCCCCCCGGCTGTCGCTCCTCTCTCTCTCTTCTCATGCAGCCCCCATGGAAGAAGAAAACGTGCCCAGTGGCCCCCTGCTCTAAAACAACCAGTATGGGGATGTGCCGAGTCACTGTGAACAATCTTCAGCTGCCTGAAAGCTTTGTAGAAGGCTACTGTACACACTGCTCTTACTCAAGCTAAAACCCCCGTGTACTGGGCCTTACCCCAAGCCAACCTTTCTGGCCTGTAAATCACTAAGCAACCCCACCTTCCATCGGATTAGAAAGTATAAACTTCCATCTCAAACATATTTTCACCTGGTGTATGGGAACTCAGTATAAAAGGAAGAATTCCTGGTCATAAAATAACTGGGAAAATTATAGAGTGATCTTTAAGAATATATAACAACTAAAGAAAGTTCTTTTGTATATTTACCTAGAGGTTTTCTTTAAACAGTCACTCACCTTTGTATCCTCAACCATTTCTTCCTCCTCCTCCTCCTCTTCTTCTTCCACAAGCACCTCTACCTTCCTCTCTTGCAGTTCTTTCACGGGTTCTTCTTCTTCAGGCTCCTCGATAATAGGTGGCTCTGACTCGGATACATAGTCATCCTCTGGTTCTGCAGTATCCTCATCTTGAGAGGGTTCCGGGTCTGTACGAGGCGGAGGTGGTGGAGATAGTACGGGAGGTGCAGAGGGGCTAGATGTCACTTCTGTTTCTGTGTCTCTGTCCTGAAAATCATCCTCTGGGTTCTCTCGATCTTCGCTCTCTACTACCATCAGGAGGTCTGTGTCTCCACCTTCATCTTGCACAGGGGACAAACGGGGCGGGCCCTCTTCCGACTCTGGTTCTTGTATTACTGGTTTAGTGTCCTCTTGAACTTGCTCAATGTTCGGTACATCTTCCGGTACGTCCTGTACGGCCTCTACGTCTTGAACTGCTTCTATATCGTGAAGAGCTTCTACATCCTGTATGGCTTCTACGTCCTGGATGGCTTCCACATCTTGTATAGCTTCCACTGCTGTACTTAGCTGCATATCTTCGTGCATTAAGCCCTCTTCATCCTCTACCTCCTCCTCTTCATCATCTTCTGCGTCGAGATCCTCCTCTTCCTCATCCTCTTCCGACATACATTCCTCATCTTCAAAGTCGTCCTCTTCCTCATCATCATCTATACCTTCCAGGTCTTCTTCCTCTTCGTCGTCGTAATATTCATCTTCATCCTCATCATACATTCCTTCTTCATCATCTTCTTCCTCCTCTTCATCATCAGTGCTGTTAATGTTTATGACCATGTCACCTTCTGACGGGGGAGCGGGGGGAGGTGGAGGCGGGGGTGCCTCTGTGGCGACTAGCACTTGAGGAGCAGAAGGACCTGGGCACGTCAGAGGTGGAGGTGCCTGCTGCGGAAGTGCCGCCGCGCTTGGCGATGGAACATTAGCTGGGGCAGGAACCTCTGCTGCCTCTTCAGCAGGAGGCTTGACAGAAGGTGGGGAAGGCTCAGATTTCGGCACTGGTTTTTGGAGGAAGCCTTTAGGCACTATGACGACACTGTCATCCGAATCGCTCTCTAAGGAAATCTCCACATCTGAAGCTTCTTCTTTCTCGTAGTGGACAAAGATTGGGTGGGCGGTTTTTCCGAAAGTCTCTTGAGGGGACTGCACTGCTGGGACAGCTGGGGGCTCTATGGGCTGCGGAGGAACTGGGGTTCTGACTGGAAGGTGATTCACTGGAGGCGGGGCTGGGAAAATAAGCGGGCGAGCTGGAACAGGAAGTCTCTGGGTGGGTGTCTCGGGCTGTTGTTGGGGACGTGGCCCGTGCTGTGGAAGGGGTCGCTGAAGGGTAGGCACACGAGGGTGAATGATGAGGCGGCAAATAGCAAGGGCTTCCGTGCAGAACATGGAGACCTGCAACCAGAAACGAGATGAAAATCAAAAGAATTCGACGTACTCTGACTGCATAGCATACGCAGGGCGACAACACTATCAGATTCTGCAGTCTCGGCTTTGGGACTACTACTGATGGCTGCTGTGCTGCCACCTCAGCATCTCCCCTTCCGCCTGTGAGCTTACAGAGGAGACACTTCCCTGCAATCTTGATTTCAAGTTTTATTCAAATGACGTTTCTCCAGGGAAAAATAAAAAAAAATCTGTGACTAGCTTTATATAACTTACATACAGTCCTAACATGCTCATGCTTCAATCTTTCCAGTATTATACATCAATTACCGCTCATCGTGGCCAGTTCCCTCTCCGTAATTGAAAGTTGATGGGGAGCTGACAACACTACACAGCTGTCATTCAAAGCAATAATCTCCCCAGCGTTGTTGGCACATGGAAGTGTTACCATATGCATACTGCCTGGCCACACCGGACACCGACTGCGATGCACATGTATACAAGCCCACATCAAGGCACAAGATCTGTTTGGTGAAGAACACCAGCAGGTTCTACGCTCCAAGTACAGCTGCTATCTCCTGCTCTTCTGTGAAATGGACCTGAAAAGCGCAGAGATCAAATCACACTACAGAGAGACTCAGAGGAGGTGGTACACTCCACCCCTCCCTTTCTCCTGGTACAGAGGGACCCATCTGGACTGGCACACGCGCTGCCAAAGGGGCACCCCAATTTAACAAAATCTACAGGAATCTAAAGGGGACCCCGTCATTATTATCTTTCCTGCAAGTTTTCAACGTTGTCATACCTGTTGACTTTCCTCTGTTATCCCCCCTCTGAAGATCCTGATAGCACAGTGCAGAGGAGCCGGCAGACGAGGGCTCGGGGTCAGGATGAGGGACAAAAGCAGCCGATAAAGTTGTTTTCTGCAGTCACTGCTGATGTATGGGCCGACCCACTGATCGGAACCTTGCTGAAGACGCAGCAGTAAGGGAATGGAGAACTCTTGAAGGCGCTGGGGAGAGAATTACAGATATGATTACCTTGAAATGACAATGGAACAAATAAAAACATAAGTTGTGCATTGCCCAGGCAGGGCTGTGGGTCTAATGTCAGACACAGTCCTAGGAATACACTAAAATGGGTGTTCAACACACGTTTGAGCTGTGCATTTGCAATTTTAAGCCTGTGTGCTTAACAGCAACACCCGGGTACACAAGCCTTAATTAGCAATGTGGCAGAGCAGCAGCCCTAACAATTTAAATCGGAAGAATATTAAGAAACAATCTTAAGCGGCTTACTATAACAACTCACCCGATGTGTGTCGTCCTTTATCAGTGAACCTCCATACAGAATGATGGAGCAAAGGGCTAGAAGAGAAAAAGCAGATCATCAAATGTTAGGAGTCAGTAACACAGACATTAAGCATCTACCACTTGTACAGGGCAATACAGTAACAAAGTTATCAGAAAGCAAGTTTCCACCTCCTTCTGCAGGGTAACACGGATAAGACAGTCTGTCCTTACACCTGCAGGGAGCTACGAGTCTGTCCTCCCTGTGCAGGGTGATATAGACAGAAGGGGGCTACGTGTCTGTCCTCCTCCTGCAGGGTGATACAGACAGAAGGGGGCTATGAGTCTGTCCTCCTCCTGCAGGGTGATAGCTATGAGTCTGTCCTCCTCCTGCAGGGTGATACAGACAAACGGGTCAAGGAGTCTGTCCTCCTTCAAGAGAACACAGACAGGAGGGGGCTATAAAAATTCTGCAGAGAAACATGATGACAACAGTAGAATATATCATGGGACAGTTCAGAAGTGGCTGGTACACACCTCTCAAGGACGCTATACACAGCTCAGTGTTTGCACTAGTTTCTCTCTTCCTGTGGCTCTGGAAGTCCCCATTCACCATATCTGACACTTTCTGCTTCTTTGCTCCAAGCTGCACAAATCCTGATATCTGAGAAGAACGGAGATTGGATGAAGAGAGAGCGGTGACAAAGGATGCACACACATGCTGGTGAGTCTGCTTACCTTAACATTGTCTGTGGGTGGATTGATATCACTCAGAAGGTGGGCTAGTAAGACATCAGAGTGATGGGACATCCCTTGCAAAACCCCTGAAGAAACCCCACACATGGTCACCCATCGCTCCAGCACACGATACACCGCTCCACGGAGGGCACTATATCAGAGAGTTAGAACCATCTTATATAATATTCACACACAGGTCACATATCCCTACTGTGTAACCAGGTCCCGTTGCAAGTGCACCTTCCTCTTTTTGCTAGTTTAAAACTGATCTGAGCAGCTGCAGACATACACTGGACACTGTCAACTGCCTTGTAAAAGTAATACCTGGGCTTCTGGTGTGTATCTGTACCTTTTCATAGGATGGAATGGAACTGCCTCTGGGTGAGCCTGCTCTCCGTTTGTGCACGGCCATATAGTATATGTCCCATAGTTGGGGATAACACTTATCAGAGGTGCCTTGACGTGGCAGTGTGCTTTATGCTGGCTAGCTTGAAAAGCGTGCTAGGTAACCCCTTTGTATTTTAAGTGTTTTTGGTTTTTTTCTTTAGAGATACCACAAACAAATTTGCTGTTCAATATAAATAACAACTCTTTCAGTGGTCTTAAAAGGAGAACTATGGGGTTAAGGCTTTTCCCCATAGTTCTCCTTAGGGTAACGGGAGGACACAAACTAGCGTCCTCCCGTCACCCTAGGCTCAGTATACTGCGAGCTGTAGCTCGCGGTATACTGAGACGCCGCAGTATACCGCGAGCAGCTGCTCGCGGTATACTGAGATGCTGAAGCGGACCCCGACAATTGTGCCGGGATCCGCCCAGCTGCGTGACTGACAGCTGGCTCTGCCTATCTAAAGGCAGAGCCAGCTGTACCCGCCCCCTGCCCGTTCCGCCAGTCAGCACTGGCGGATCAGAGCAGGGAATCCAGCCCCTTCCCTGTCACGGCAGAGAGCCGTGACAGGATCGAGAAGTGAGCGAACGCCGGTATGTGTTCGCTCACCTCCCGATCTACTGAGCCGACCTGTGACAATCTCATTGTCACAGGTCGGCTAGAACTATGAGGTGAGTGAAAAGCACTCACCTCATAGTTCTCCGTTAACTATTAATAAAAATGTATCTTATTTGTGTATCACTTAGTAGTAGACCCTCAAATCATCTCCGAATTGGTGCTGGCACTGTCCTTGCTTCAGGAGGGTGGCTACTTTTGTTCCCCATGGTCCCTGTGTGTTTTGTAAAGTAGTCACCGCTCCAAGCTCGCTCCCATGATGGACTACAATCTCAATACAAATTAGTGAACTAACAATTAGATTGTAGTACATCACAGGAGTGAGCTTGGAGTGGTGACTACTTTACAACAGACACATTGGGTACAAAAGTAGTCACCCTCCAGAAGAAAGGACAGTGTCAGCACCAATTCACAGATGATATGAGGAGCTACAGCTGAGTGATACACAAATAAGATACATTGCTGTTAATAGTTAAGGTACTTCAATGGTATTGTAAGATTATACTCCTGAATTTAATGTCACTTTACAATTTTCAATGTACTGACAACTTCCAATACAGAGTAGGTGCACAGCCCCGTTAACCTACCTGTAGGGCCTCTCCTGCCCGGGTGGTATTCCGCTTGCCCCTCGAACAGCTGCCCAGGAACTTAGAAGTTGTGGGAATAACCTGCAAATCACTGTAGAGAATGGCAGGAGACGGGGTCCACATCTATTAATCAGACATAAAAGAAACAGTCAGACAACAGAGAAAAAGTGGACAATGTTTAGCAAACCACATCCTTAGTCTATAGCAGATGTAGGCAGCCTTGGCACTCCAGCTGTGCTTAAAATACAGTTTCCATCAGGTCTCTATCTCTGGGAATCAGGCCTGTGGCTGTTGGAGTCTTGCAATGCCTCATGGGTCTTGCAGTTCCAAAACTGCTGGAGTGCCGAGGTTACCTACACCTGGGTCTATACAATACAAACTGAGGTTAAGAAGTATAAAAATCTTAATTTGTGGGGGTGACGACATCCATAAAATCTGAATGACTTATAAAACTGGCTGGATAAGTTCAGCAATTTTTCCCCCTAAAATGATAACGCAGATCTTGTATTTAAAAATGCAAGATGCACCTACAATGTCTGGGCTCCATCTAAAAAAAAATAAAAAATCACCTGGTTAAATATATATAAAATGGTTCCGTATACAAAGAAGATTATGTACTTATCTTACCCTATTCCTTCAATTATAGCACCAAAGTGACGTCTCACTCCTTCCGCTAAGAGGAGTACAGAGCGGCACCAATCTCAAGAGAAGATGTTATTGCAATGGACGGGAGTGTGTTCTTATGAGATTTGGCCTGCTCTGCACTCCCTGGGAATCTTCCAGGAAGGATGGTGTTCGTCACAGCCAGTGTTGTGGAAGACGGAGATAAGGCAAGTATAAATCGTACTCTTTTCTTTACAGGAACATTTTAAACATACGTTCTGCAAGTGAAAGTAATGGAGGAAAGGCAGACCTTGCACTGTCCTTGAAGTTAAAAGTTAAAGTCCAATTAAAAAAAATAGTAATATATAATAATAATATATATATTTATTTCACATCTTCATAATAGAAAAACAATGTGCATTCGTTATTTTGCATTGGATCCAGTCAAGATTTTACAGGGGACTGTCAGTGGGACCCTTCTGTAACAAGTCCATAGTCGCTGAAGCAACCATTTGCTTACAGCAGAAGGGTGAAAGCCAGCGACACAAGACACACTGACCTGGCCAGCTGGAAACGGTTGGGTTTGCGCATGTGTAATTATACACTGTCTCTCTCTCTCTCTCTCTCTCTCTCTCTCTCTCTCTCTCTCTCTCTATATATATATACATATACACACATACACACACACACACACATATATATACACACACACACTTAAAAGTCCATAGCCAGAGTTCCACTTTAATACAAAGCCCATCAAGCAACAAGCTGATCCACTGGCCCCACTATGAAGGCAAAGTAAGATTCTTACGCTACGATTGTGGACTCCAGGATGTCCAGAGCACTCAGATGGACCCGAGGTAGAACAAGTAGCTTGATGGCCTCCTCTCCCTGCCAGCTCTGTGGAGAGACAGAGAAACATATCAGTTGTATGTCTGGGGTGGGTACAGAAGAACAGACCAAAGACAGAATCCTGACACCCGTTTGTCATACAGGGAAAACTGGACGCTACCTCTTAAAGGAGAAACCCAAGTTGTAGAAAAATAAACCTTTGCAGTGGGGCTACCCCGGCACTGCAAGGGTTGACTGCTCGTCTTCATCTAGATCAGGGATGTCCAAACTCCGGCCCTCCAGCTGTGGTGAAACTACAAATCCCATGAAGCATCTCTCTCCGGGAGTCATGTCTGTGAGAATCTTGAAAAGCCTCATGGGATTCGTAGTTCCACCACAGCTGGAGGGCCGCAGTTTGGACATCCCTGGTCTAGGGTTCAAAGCAAGAATACTCACTCCAACATTAATTCCCTCTGGCTGCTAAACCAGTCCCATCGGAGGCAACCCCATTGCAAGCGTTCATTTTTCTACAACCTGGAGTTCTTCTTTAAACCAAACCTTCTCTGAGCCCATAACAGGCAAATTTGAGCAGAAACAATGCATTGTAAAATAATTAAGAGATGAGAATCAAAAATGTTAGAAACGTCGGTGTCAGTACATCAAGTTCACATAAAAAAAAAAAATAGTCTCATCTTCAGATTCCTAGAACAGATGATGACAAAACCCGAATAAAATGAAGGATTTCCTGACGTCTTGTGGCACTTTTCTGGATCAACACCCTACTATGTATTTTTAGAAACTAATAGTCCCTTTAAATGTTCTTGTTTTAGGACAGTATCCAATCCTTCACAAAACAATCTACTATATCAGATTGAAATGATCCTGGGGTGAATCATGTTCCTTTTTTTAGGGACTCACCAAGTTTTTAGCGCTCACGTTCACCACTCTGCAGACAAGGTTCAGAATGTCGGACACGGGCGCCCGCACTGGAGCCGGGAACTGCTCCCTGTTAAGTAAATTGAGGAGAAGTTTATGTGACTGTGCTATCAGGTGTAGCTATGATGAAGCCATAATGTACTGGAATTCCTCGCTATAAAAATTTGACAGGCACTTTGAAATACAACCTATTAATCGGTTTCATTTCAGAACACTTACTAAAATACTTAAACAAAACTCTTTATTTTTAGAGATACGTCTTATAGCTGACCTACAGTGTCATTTTATAGGACAAGTCTCCACACCTCTTCCTTCTATCCTCTTACTCAGGCCTAGCAAGGCCCCCCTCCTATCCTCCCTCACCAGAGCCTAGCAATGTCACCTTCTAACTTCCCTCATACAGGCCCAGAGACGCACCCTCTTACCCTCCCCTTCATCCAAACCTAGCAAAGCCACCTTCTACCTTACCCTCCGTCGCCCACGCCTAGCAAAGCCACCATCTACCCTCCCTCCAGGGCCTAGCAAAGCCAGCTTCTATCCTCCCTTGCCCAGTCCTAAAAAAGTCATCTTCTACCCTAGGTTATGCAGCCTAGCAAAGCCACCTTCTACCCTCCCTCATTGTCTGGCAGAGCCACTTTCGTCCCTCCCTCATTCAGTCTGGCAGAGCCACTTTCGTCCCTCCCTCATTCAGCGTGGCAAAGCCACCTTCTACCCTCCCTCATTCAGCGTGGCAAAGCCACCTTCTACTCTCCCTCATTCAGCGTGGCAAAGCCACCTTCTACCCTCCCTCATTCAGCGTGGCAAAGCCACCTTCTACCCTCCCTCATTCAGCGTGGCAAAAGCCACCTTCTACCCTCCCTCATTCAGCATGGCAAAGCCACCTTCTACCCCACCCTCATTCAGCGTGGCAAAGCCACCTTCTACCCTCCCTCATTCAGCCTGGCAAAGCCACCTTCTACCCTCCCTCATCCAGGGCTAGCAAAGCCACCTTCTACCCTCCCTCATTCAGTCTGGCAGAGCCACTTTCGTCCCTCCCTCATTCAGCGTGGCAAAGCCACCTTCTACCCTCCCTCATTCAGCATGGCAAAGCCACCTTCTACCCTCCCTCATTCAGCATGGCAAAGCCACCTTCTACCCTCCCTCATTCAGCGTGGCAAAGACACCTTCTACTCTTCCTCATTCAGCCTGGCAAAGCCATCTTCTTCCCCGCCCTCATTCAGCCTGGCAAAGCCATCTTCTTCCCCGCCCTCATTGAGCCTGGCAAAGCCACCTTCGTCCCTCCCTCATTGAGCCTGGCAAAGCCATCTTCTTCCCCGACCTCATTCAGCCTGGCAAAGCCATCTTCTTCCCCCGACCTCATTCAGCCTGGCAAAGCCACCTTCGTCCCTCCCTTATTCAGCCTGGCAAAGCCACCTTCTTCCCTCCTTCATTCAGCCTGGCAAAGCCACCTTCTTCCCTCCCTCATCTGACCTTGCAAGGCCACCTTCTAGCCCACTATATGCTGAGTTTTGGGTCACAGGAGACCATTAGTAATTGTTCTCCTGTGACCTTAAAGAGAACTAAATGCTTGGTCACCAAAACGTTTTGGTCACACTTCTCTTTTCATAGCACATCAATGGAACCCAATATTTAAATGCAGTCATGTGCTATGAAAAATAGAAGATCAATGCCAACTAATTTTCTTAGGTAAGCTTTTTCTTCTACTGCTCATACACCTTATGGGAAGAATACAGAGACATACCGTGTTTCCCCGAAAGTAAGACCTACCCCGAAAATAAGACCTACCCCGAAAATAAGACCTAGTTCGGTGGTAGGTCTTATATTACAGACATCCCTGAAGATATCGCTAGGTCTTACCTTCGGGGTAGCTGCACATGTAATTAAATTTTACATGTGAAGACCGGCCGCAGCTCCCTCCCGCCCACCTACCCGCACGCCCAACTATCTGTGGCTCTCTGGATGGCATCAGAGTAAAACATATTACTTATTCTCTTTTTCTGTATCCCGTTATCAATGAACAGGAATCCTCTATACTGAGTGCTCCTGTTCATTCATAACATGAGGACAGAGTATGTTTACTATAACTACAATCATGAATGAACAGGAGGGGGATGTAGATCACTTACCATTTATTCATAATTGAGGATATAGTAAACATACTCCGTCATCAATTATATACAAACACTCAGCCATCACTGAGTGTTTGCACTTGCTCTCCTCTCTGGACACGCTGTCACAGGAGGCTGAGCGAGCGTTGCAGGGTGGAGAGCTCAGCCTCCTGTGACAGCGGGCTGTCTTTGCCCCCACACCGCTCTGCCGGACTGTGATAGGAGGCTGAGCGGTGTGGGAGGAGAGACGCCGGCCACTCGCAGCGCTCGGCCATCACAGTTTCTCTCCTCCCCGAATGGGACACAGCAGCGCCCAGCGGGGAAGAGAGAAAGCTGGGATGCGCCGATATATATCGGCAGGAAAATGGCACTTTTGGCATTCAGGCAAAAGTGCAATTTTTCGCCCGATATATAGGTGCATCCCTAGTTATAACGTATTCACTGGGATGTACAGGTAGGTTCCTTGTGAAATGTCAGCAGTCTGGCCCGACCAGGGGAATACAGTTGGCACAGCATCCTGTAGCCTTGTAAAGATTGGCAGCTTTTGCCATCAGCTGCTGTCACTCAATGTAGAGGGGAGGAAGGGCATCAGCAGCAGTCCAGTGTTTGCTGCTATGACTTTGGTTCAATAGTTTTATGTACGATCACTTTGGCTCTAAATAGCAACAATATTCAAAAAAGGGTATTACCTCATAACAGATGTAAAAATGACCATCAGCTTGAACAGTACAGGATTAAATTAACCCCTAAAATGTAACTGTCATCGCTGAAAGGAGCCTTACACCCAACCCTTATGTTGATAGAACCATGGCCAAACCTTTTTTGGCTTTAGTTTTCTTTTGGGTCACAGGAGGACATTTACTAATGTCCTCCTGTGTGTGTTGTAAAGTAGCCACCGCTCCAAGCTTGCTCCTGTGATGGACTACAATATCAATACAAATCAATAAACTATACATGATATTGTAGTCCATCACGGGAGTAAGATTGGAGCAGTGGCTACTTTAAATGTGAGATTGTTCCCCATGTGTTGTAATTTAGTAATTTGTATTGAGCTTGTAATCCATCACGGGAGTGAGCTTGGAGCGGTGACTACTTTACAACACACACAGGAACCATGGGGAACAAAAGTAGCCCCCCTCCAGAAGGAAGGACAGTGTCAGCACCAATTCAGAGATAAATAAAAGACATAAGCAACAAAGCGCCACCTCCTTGTGTGAAATCCAGCCTAAAAGCAGCCAGTGGCACGATGGTATGGTGATGTGACCGGAGGCAGCTTTTTATACGCAGTTGGAGCGGAGCGGAACATTCCTTAGACACTGATCTTGTGGCCTCTTATTGACAAGCGTGACTGAAATTTGATAATTTTGAGTATTTATAACCGGTTTTATTATTCAAATAAAAAAAATTCACACAAGGAAGTGGAGCTTTGTTGCTTTTGTCTTTTATGTATCTGATGAGAACACCAGAGTCTCTTTGACAAGCAGCCTCTCCAAAAGCTGTGAATATTTTACAAGAAAGACTACTCCCGGAGGATTGTATAACGGAAATCATTAACGCCAAGAATTTTTCTGGGACCAATTCAGAGATGATTTTAGGATCTACAGCCGGGTGATACACAAATAAGATACATTTTTGTTAATAGTTAAGGTACTTTGATGTATTTTTAAGATTTAACTCCTGAGCTTAGTGCCACTTTAAATATGTTCACTTTAACAGGGAGTGTTTATGAACAGCCATCACCAGTGACAACCAAGGTGCCCCTTCAGTGCTGGAGGCTTCCAGAATGTGGTGCGAATCCTGCGGCAGGCATGTCACCGTGTGCTGATCTGTTCTGCTGCAGGATTGGGATTACACCCGGAGGTGGCAATGGCATTCTCCAACACTGGATAGAAGCCTCATCTATGACAGGTAACCAGCTGCTGTGACAGATTTCCATTGAGAACAGCATTATGCAAACAACTCCCAAGATCTTCATCTCCCCAATTCCTAGGACATGCATGCTCACCGGTCTCTGCGCTTTGATAGAGCTGCTGGAACACCGTGTGGAGCGAGCACAGAACGCTGTGCATCTGCCGTTCCCAGTTTTCTGTGTGTTTAACCCCCTGCGAGAAGCCAGAGCCTAGTGACGGCAGGAGGGAGAAGCATTGGCAGGCCAGCTGTTATGAGAGAGAAATAAATCAGAAGATTTTTGAAAATAAGAAATGTTATAAATACATCAACTATTCATTGTAAGGATTAAAAGATTTCCAACATATCATGCTACAAACAAAAATGAAATGTATATGGGAGGGTGGGGTAAGCTACTCTGAGAGTTTTGCTCGCACACAACATCTCACTGTGTAAATCCAAATCACCAGCAAGTTGGAAGGAAAAAATCCACATAAGATCCCAGTGCTGCAGGGATTTGGTTGTTTCCCCTTCCTGGGGGGAAAAGAAAACCTTGGGAAAAATAAGAACAAAAATAGAAAATTTGGGAGAGTGGGTCCCAATACCTAACTAAAGAAATATAGTCACCAGCACTCCAAATGGTAATTTAGCAATAGTCCATTTATTGACACATTGCCATTCTATGCAAGCGCTTTCGGGGCCTCAGAGGGTCCCCTTCATCAGGCACAGAATGACCCCTTGAGGCCCTGAAAGCGCTTGCATAGAATGGCAATGTGTCAATAAATGGACTATTGCTAAATTACCATTTGGAGTGCTGGTGACTTTATTTCTTCATTTGAGTTTCTCAGTGCCACCTGTGGTCACGACAAGCACCCACCCGTCTTCACGGGTCCCTAGATGTTCCGGTAACGAGTGCAGCAAGACCTCTGGTTCCCAATACCCGACTATTCCCCAAGTATCCAACCCTTGCTGACTCACTGAGCTAGCATACCTCTAGGGAGAATATCTGGGAGGACCCCTGCACTTAGCCAGTATGCTGAAAACAAATGAAACTGCTTTCCTGCTAGACCTGAGGAAACACAAACACTGAGGTGGTGGGAAGGGACGGACCCTTTGATTTTAATTGTGGATGATGCATTTCCTGTTTTAGGTGGGCAGAACCTCTCCCCTGTACTGTCCTGGAAGATGAATTGGGAAATGTAAGTTTCTGTGTTCATATACAGCAGCGGCATAAGCCTGCTTCATGTACACTTGGTGTACATTGCTGGTATATGTTTTTATTAAAAAAAATACCTCCCCAAAAGGTGGAAATGGGCTTTAAGTTTTTTTTCTCCATGTACAATATATAGTTTTACCTCCTGAACCTGCAGACTTTCTTCATCCAAGAGACTCAGGAAAAAGGCAGTGAGCTTCCCCTGCAGGAGACACAACAGTGATAGAAGGTACTGAGAGACGTACATAGACAGATATTTGAGGAAGTTTACTCACATCTACAAACACATACTACTAGATAATTGCCAGCTTTTTATTATTTATTTTTATTTTCCTCCCCATCCTTCCCACCGCGGCCATTTTTACTAAGGGTAAATAAATATATCTCCCTTTACTTCCTGGAATTCTGGCACATGTGACTAGGACATGTGACCATGCACATCATCTATGGGGAGGAAAATGCCTTTCCCTGAGATCTCGTGAGATTACAGATGAGATTTCCCAGCAATGCTCTGCTGATGACAAGGCAATCCCAGTGTGCATTGCTTTGCCAAACTGAAGTCATTTTTCCCTTTCAAAGCAGGAAGTGAATGCTCTGCCAGTGTAAGTATTTCACAATCACAGCATTTTACACCTGACACGTCTATGTTATTATTAAATCATCATACATAGAAGGATGCATTGGTAGACTCTGATTTTGGAGTGTAAAGGTCCGCTTTACCACAAGGCCTTACAATTGTCAATTGCGGCAGCCAGCAAAAGCACAGCATGGATCAGAATGGGACCTAGTGCTACATGCATGTGGTCCCCTGGGGGGGTGCAACAAGGAATTTTTAGTCCAGTTGTAACTTCTTTAGGGCTGCCACACTTAAAAAGCTCTGTTGAGTTAAAAGGTGCACTTTAACAGAATAAGCTTGCTAGGCCATAAGCATGTCTAGATACAATACCCGCAGGGATCCACAGGCTCGGGGATATGTGATCATGCAGCACCGGATTCCTTCAAGAGCCGGCATCAAACACTGTAGGAAAGAAAGACACAATTGAGATATGGAACACCAAGATAATTATTTTCTGGCCTGGCTTATACATGCTGCAGTGGCGTATAATTTGCCCACAGCAACCAAAGCCATCATCAAGCTGAATTCTGATTGCCTATTACTGACAGCAGCCTTATCTTATATAAAAGGTACTAATTTCTTTACACGAGTCACGCTGCACAGTTTTCATGCCGATCATTCATGATTACCTGAGGTCTCAGGCCCAGCAATGACGTGAGCAGTCCCGGGATGTGATTGGTGGAGATTTCCCGTGACAATTCTGGCAGTGCAGAGGAATGCGTGAGTAGGGAGCGTAGCACGAAAACCGCCAGGCTGATCACCCTGGGGGGATCCTGGGACTGTACAGAGCAGAGAAAACAAAGTGACACATTAATACATTTTTACTAGAACACAACATAAAATATTTATGAAAGGCATTTATATAGCGTGCTCCATATATTGCACATTCCTAGCAGTCCCTGCTCTCTGGGAGCTTAAACCTAAGGTCCCTATGTTACATGTATACACCAAACACATACAAGGGCAGTTTAGACTGGAGCCAATTAAAAGGAGAGCTATTGGAAGAGTGAAATACACTCAGCGCCATAGTTAGAGCCGACGTGTGACACTGCAGCTGTCACACATCGGCTCTATTGATCGGGAACTGAGTGATCACATACCACTGATCACTCAGTTCATGATCTTCTCCCTGCAGAGAGCAGTGACTGTCAGTCATCACTCCCCACAGGGATTCCCCCCTCCCCTCTAGCACTCGCAGGAAGAACAGAAGAATCAGTAGGCCGGGTGGATCCCGACGATATCAGGATCCTTCTGCGCTGTCAGAAAACAGCAGGCAGTAGCCCGGCATTTGCTGAGTTTTGGGTCACAGGAGGACATTAGTAAATGTCGCCCTGTGACCCAAAAGAGAACCAACGGCAAACATTTTTTAGCTATAGTTCTCTTTTAACCTACCAGCACATCCTTGGAGTGTGGCAGGTAACCCACGCAAGCACAGAGAGTAGTGCCCTGGCTGCGAATCAAACCTAGAACCCGAGTGCTGCAAGGCAGAAGTGCTAACCAGTAAGTCACTGTGCTGCCCTATTATACCCACAATACACAAACGCAAGCTTCTGTTACTACCGCAGTCCAAAATCAGGGGTCTACACGGCTTCAAAACAACATTGGAAACGTCGCACAGACCTTGGAAGACAAAAAAAGATGTCCTCCAGCCAGGAAATGAGGCGGGCTCTATCTGACTTGCTGCAGCTTCTAATGCACATTGTGAGAAGCTCCCAGTGTGCAGTGAGATCAGAGGAAGTCATTGCAGTCCAAGACAGGAGCCGGTACAACCGTGCAAGACTGAAGTTGAGGCTGGAGGCCCCTAACATGAGGAATAAGGAGTTCCCACCGGGACTGGAGGCTATTCTTTTTCTGTATAGGAAAAATAAATCTGTCGGGACCGGATACCATATCGTCAAGACCCTGATATTTGCGCATATCCACCGTAACCCGGTGAGTACCCATTACTAAGGGGGCTGTCGGACTAAGGAGATAGGAACTAACAATCATCCGTCTTCTAAACCCCCCCTGTCCTGCTCTTACATTGCCTATTTTTTGAGATCTACTCTTCATATCGCCCATTGAACATTGTTGCCTCTGGCATCGCCTTCACTTATTTAAAGAAACAATTCAAGATTAATATAAATATAGATCACTGAATGCTATCTTTTTTTTGTTTCAGCTTTTTTGAAAAAACTGTCACAGATTATTCACTGTAATCTTTTTGAGACGTTTTTTCTGATACTGTGTTATATATTTCCAATGAAGTCGTAATGCCGTATTATATTCACTAACCAAAGCTGATTTTATCCATCTACTATCATCTATTATTACTTAATCTTAATCGAAGCTGATTTTATCTATTTATTATTATTCAATTTTACTATTTATTCTTTGTCATCTAAGTTCATCACGATTATTCACTTACGTTTGAATGTCATTTATATCTATTAGCCATAGGCTACACTTTATGTTGTTCACATAGTGATACAAACCATCTTTTTCGTTTACTTTTTATGACTGTTTCGAATACACATAATTTATACATTGATATCCCACTGATCACTCAACCCAATCTGTGAATATTTACACATATTTTGTTGACTTTATCTCTAGCGCTGTGTTCCAAGTACTCTATTCTTTTTCTGTGTTGGGAACGAGGAAAGCCTTCTCCAATTATATTAGGAATTGACAAGCAAGGACTCAAACCCCTAGAAGAGTTAGTCCCTCAGACAGGTTATGCTAGAGGTCAATGGCAAGCGTACTTCCAGATTAGAGACTTCTATACTTATCTCTCCTCAATCGGGACTCCGATGAGATCATCTCATCAAAGCTAAATCACATACTATTTCAAGACTTTACAAAATCCTAATATGCCATGCATGTCCCAGTCGCACCTATTTCATGAGAGGATGGGAGAGGGAATTGGGTCATTCCAAAGATGCAACTGATTGGGGTTCGATTTACTGCCTGCCCCCCCCCCATCACACACACCTTCCCCTCCCCAGCAGCACATTCACAAACATGGCCAAAAGTTTTTGGACACCTGACCATCATGCCTATATGTTGGATATCCCATTCCAAATCCACAGATATTAATATGGCGTCTCACCTGTATGACTTGCAAGACGCTGCGAATCCAGGAGATACAATGCTGCTGGAATACATCTGTAGGAGACTCCTCAACAAGCAGGGACAAGAGAGACAAGCCTTCAATCCTGGAAAAGAATGAAAACGAAAAAAAAATTCAAAAGCAACAAAAAACAGCAGCCGCAGCCCAAGTCATCATCCCATTGTAAGAGTGCTAGTCCTCGCATGAGGTATTAAGTAGGGATGTACCGATATATCGGCCACTGAAACAGATCCGCTGAAAATGGCACTTTTGGCAAAATGCTGAAAGTGCCATTTTTCTGCCGATATAGCAGTGCATCCGTTCTTTCCTCCCCGCTGGGCGCTGCTCTGGGTCCCAGCGGGGAGAAGGGAAAGTGTGACAGGCAGCTGAGCAATGCGGGAGGAGAGCGCTGTGAGCGGCCGGCGTCTCTCCTCCCCGCACCACTTCTGCCTCCTATCACAAATCAGGAGATCGGCAGTGAGACAACCAGCGCTGTCATAGGAGGCAGGCCGGCGGTGCGGGGGAGGAGTCAGCTGTCAGATCGAGCTCCTCTCCTCGCTCAGCCTCCTGTGACAGCGTGTCAGGATGGAGAGCGAGTACAAGCAGTCGGTGATCAGTGATCGCTGAGTGTTTGTAGATAATGGAGGACATAGTAGGTTTCCTGTGTCCTCAATTCTGAATGAATGGGAAGTGATCTACATCCCCCCCTGTCCATTCATGATTGTGGATATGGTAACCATACTTCGTCCTCTTGTTATGAATGAACAGGAGCACTCGGTATAGAGGATTCCTGTTCAACAGGGGACACAGAAAAAGAGATTGAGGACTCTGTGTCCCCAATCTCTTTTTCTATTTTAAAAGGGAAATATCAGGGGTCTGTTTAGATCCCCAATATTTCCCTGAAGCCCCTAAAAGTAAAGTAAAAAATAAAAATCTTTTTTTTTTATTATTGTATTTTTAAAAATGTTTTAATTTTTTAATATGTTTTCATTATTTTTCATTAAATATTTAAATGTTTTACTTTACTTTTAGGGTCTTCTGGGAAATATTGGGGGTCTAAACGGATCCCTGATATTTCTCTTTTGAAATAGAAATTGAGAACACAGAGTCCTCAATCTTTTTCTGCAGCCCCTGTTATCAATGAACAGGAATCGCCTATACTGAGTGTTCCTGGTCATTCATAACATGAGGACAGAGTAAGGTTACTATATCCACAATCATGAATGAACAGGAAGTGATGTAGATCACTTCCCATTCATTCATAATTGAGGATATAGTAACCATACTCTGTCCTCAATTATTTACAAACACTCAGAGATCACTGACTGCCTGTACCCCGCTCTCCTCTCTGACACGCTGTCACAGAAGGCTGAGCAGCGAGGAGTGGGAAGGAGAGCTCAGCCTCCTGTGACAGCGAGCTGTCTCCGCCCACACAACGCTCTCCTGATATGTGACAGGAGGCTGAGCGGTGCGGGGAGGAGACACTGTGACCGCTCACAGCACTCGGCTGCCTGTCACAGTTTCTCTCCTCCCCGCTGGGACACAGAGCAGCGCCCAGCGGGGAGGAGAGAATAGACTGGATGCGATGTTGTATCGGCCAGAAAATGGCACTTTCGGCATTATGCCAAAAGTGCCATTTTCGGCCGATATATCGGTGCATCCCTATAAGATATATTTTTTTTTTTTTTATTGAAAAAGTTAGAAAAAAACATTTCCGGTTTCGGCCCAACATTTTTATTTTATTTCGGTTTTCCATTTCGGTGCACCTCTAGTATAAGACGAGCCTTCTCAGTATGTAGACTGGCTTTTGCACCACCAGTTTACTATGGGTGTCACGTCTGTATAATGGGGGGATTGGGTTTTAAGAGGAATCATTCAAGTTCAGTCATCCCTACTACTGACTCCCTACTACGTCATTCATTTGAAGCCGTCACCTAACAGGCATTAAAAGTTTTGATATGTGACAGCGTTGGGTAAAGCTTAAACTATGCACCGTGTCAATTTTATTATTTTCTTTAAAGCACAGCACCCCCCTCCCCCCCAGCAATGGAATGCAAACCAGCGTCATGTCTTCTTGATTTCGGGACTGTTAGGTCAGCGATCACTGTCAGTGTCGGATATTTGAAAAGATTTCTCAATGACTCTCTTACACTGATGAACAATCTTAGACATGTCTGGAGGCATGTGAGGAGCATGTGAGGAGCATGCAGTGTGTATGAAGCCTGAAGAAGAGAACATGTGGGGGGGTCTATGATAATATCCGTCATTGTGGAAAGCGGGCAGCCCGTACCTGGTAGAACCCGACACCAACCGGGAGCTACAGCTGGCAAGGAAGTTCGGAAGGGAAGCCGAGGAACCCTGAAATGACAAACAGAAGGAGAAACATCAGCCGGCAGTTGCTGATCACATGTAACCGGGTGAATTTGCGAAAATTGAATTACCCCTCCAATCTGGCTCCCCCCCCCATCGCTATACTCACCATTGGGCTAGTGCTCCTTTGCCCTCCATCGGTGCCCTATCCGTACCCCGTACTGCCATGTAGTGCCGACCTGCATTTTGAATTTTGCTCGAGCACTCGTTGGTCATAAGCGCTTCTCATTGGTCAGCGTGCTCAGCTGACCGCACCGACCAATGAGTGCTCACCACTTATGAGCTAAATTCACAATCCAGAGCGCAGGGCTTGCACTACATGGCAGTACGGGGTAGGGATAATACACTGGCAACGGTGGAGGGGAAGGAGCGCTAGCCCAAAGGTTAAAATAGTGAGGGAGGGAGAGAGAGAGGGTAAGGAGGGGGTAAGTCCATTTTCCCAAATTCACCTGTAAAAGTGAACTTACCCTTTAACCTCAATTCAAAACTGGTCATTCATATTAAAGTGCAACTGAAGCCAAAGCTTTTTTTTTGTTGCTTTGGAGTGGAGAGGGATTAGACCCCGTCAGGTTTTTTTTGCTATCTGTGTCCCCGCCAGGGAGACTCCCCCCCCCATGTGTCCTGGTGACCGTCATCAGTGAAAGAAAATCAAAAATGTTGAGATGTCACCAGAAAAGGAATAGATGGGAAATCTTCCAATGCTGACCACCAGGGATTTCCTCTCACTTCCTGTTGTGGCTATCAGACAGGAAGTGAGAGGAAATCTCCCCCAATGGGACACAGATGGCCAAAAATAAATCCTCCCGTACTCTATCCCAAACTTTAAAAAAAAAAAGTTTTGGCTTCATTTCTACTTTAAAGCAGAACTCCGGCCAGATAAAATCTTAACCCTTGCAGTGGAGCTGAAATAGCAAAGTTATCCTCACCCGAACCACGATACCGGCTTGTTTTTAGACCGCTCCCTTCAGCCTCGCTCCCCCTCCATTCCAGCCGTCTAAGGTCCTGTGAGTCATTGTCCTATACAGTGTATAGGACGTGAGAATGCCGGGACACACCATCACTGAAGCAGTGGGGGAGTGAGGCTGAAAGGGCCGGTCTAAGAGTGATGATGTCAGCGGTCCTTAGACTGGGGGAGAAGAGGCTGTGGGGACTTTTTAATATTTGCATGGCTCCGCCCACACACGGTATTATCTCAACTGTCAATTATTCACAGGATCACCGCAGCAGAGGGACTCGAAAATCTCCATGAAACCCGAGTGTGGGGTCAACGCCACCATTGTGGTCCCGATAACTCCCTCCAGCTCCATAACCAAAGTCTGTAGCTCGGGGGGCTGCAAAGACAGTCTGTAGGAGCCTGAGAGTTGCGCCCACCATCCACAGATCGCCGTTGCATTGCTCTGCAGGCTCCAATGCATAAGTACAATGCAGGGCTATGGAGCGGCGTGGACGCAGAGGGACATTCCATCAGCCGGGGAGGAGCGGAGCGCACCGACCGCTGGGTGAGCGGTAAGTATAACAGCTTTCCCCCCCACCCCCGGGTATAAACGCGTGATGTATAGGTCAGTGGGCGCCCGTGTCATAGAGGGCCCCCAAGGGACAAGGCTGAGTGATTTAAAGGCACCTTATTGGTAGTCCATTGATTGTATCCCCCGGCCCCATGACAGAGGGTCCGTACAGACCCGGGACTGAGGGGGTAAACAATACAGGGACCTGAGCATTGCACCCACTAATGGCGGCTGCGATGCTCTGCAGACCTTGCATGCGGATATTTAATAAATGCACATTTTTTATTTCCACGTGGCTGAATTGATTATTGTTTCCTAAGGTGGACTATACCTTTAAGTGAAATGTATGGAGTGGACATGACGTGTCCTCTGGGGGGGGGGGGGTTATCAAAACTAGAGCAGTCGGCTGTGGTAACCAATCAGCATACTGCTTTTATTTTTAAAGCTTAACTGGACACACTGAAGAGAGAAGTCGATTAGTTGCCATGGGCGACTGCTCCAGATTGGATAACCTCCCCCAAGGTGTTGTCTATAGACTACAGGACCGTCCCCGATGCTAAGAAAGATCATAATGGAAGTCAATGGGAATTGGTGATCAATGGACTGAAAATCAAAGGTCAGATCTCCTGACACCAGATCATTGTGTCCTGTCATTGGAGGGGGGTGTTTTTCTGGGACACACTGCACTTCCTCCCCTGATGACACACTATGATCACTGAGGTGAAGGAGGACACACCATGTGCAGCACACAGACACACGGTATTCATTCACACAAAGCTCCCCCCGGCCCGCTCACCTCCCCCCGCAGCGCTCCGTGCTCCCGCAGGCCCCGGATGGTCTCGGCCAGCTCCCCCTCGCTCAGCTCTTTCTCCAGCAGCCCGTTCACCACCGCCTCCATCATCCGAAACCCGACACACACCGCCGCCATCTTCCCGCCACCGCCGCCACTGCTCCGCGTCATCACCCTGCGCGGCTCAGACGTGACGTCAGCCGTGTCTATGGCAACACGGGGAATCCATGGTAACTGCGAGCACTGCCTGGCTCACGGAGCGGAGCTGAGCCTCAGACACGCGTGGTAAGAACAGCCTGATCAGTAACTGCATCTTGCCTAGCAACCAGGGCTCATAGCAACCAGCATCTTTTCTAGTACCAGAGCTAATACAAACCAGCATCCTGCCTAGCAACTAGTGCTCATAGCAACCAGCATCCTTCCTAGCAGCCAGCATCTTTTCTAGCAACCAGAGCTGATACGAACAAGCATCCTTCCTAGCAACCAGAGCTGATAGAGATAAGCATCCTTCCTAGCAACCAGAGCTGAAAGAAATCAGCATCCTTCCTAGCAACAAGAGCTCATTAACAACTAGAATCTTGCATAACAACCAGAGCTCATAGTGACCAGTATCCTTCCTAACAACCAGAGCTCATAGCGACCAGTATCCTTCCTAGCAACTGGAGCTCATAGCAACCATAATCTTGCCTAACAACCAGATTTCATAGCAACCAGCACCCTGCCTAACAACTGGCACTTATAACAACCAGCATGCTGCCTAACAACCAGGGCTCATAGCAACCAGAACCTTGCCTGACAACCAAAGCTCATAGCAACCAGTATCCTTCCTAGCAACCTGAGCTCATAGCAAATAGCATCCTGCCTAATAACTGGAGCTCATAGCAACTAGCATGCTGCTGAACAACAAGCTCATAGCAACCAGCATTCTACCAATAAACTAGAGCTCATAGCAACCAGAGCTCATAACAACGAGTGTCCTGCCTAATAACCAAAGCTCATAGCAACTGGAATCTTGGCTGACAACCAAAGCTCATAGCAACCAGAACCCATAGCAACCAGCATTCTTCCTACCAACTAGAGCTCATAGCAACCAAAATCTTTCCTAGCAAGGCATCCTGGTAGCCAGGATGCTAATTCTTATAAACAGAGGTTGCTAGAAATTCGTAAGAATCAGCGTCCTGACTACCAGCAGATGGATCTTATAGCAATTATTATACTGCCCAACAGCAATGCTTCACTGCAACAAGCTTCCTTCCTAGCAACACACACAGCTCATAGCAACCAGCATGTTACATAGCAACCAGTATGTTATATAGTAACGAGCATGTTACATAGCAACTAGCATGTTATATAGCAATTAGAATTTTACATAGCAACCAGCATGTTACATAGCAACCAGCATCAGAACTCATAAACTGGATCATAGCTAGACAGAAGCCGTTTCATGTCACAAGTGAATTCATACCCTCCAAGGGCCCAGAACATACGGGACATTCTTATTTTGCCAAACAGTGCAGCCTGTAGCAATTAAATAAATATACAATCAGGTAGAGTGAATTTGTTGTTTCTATGCACATCTTCCCCGGTACTTTGTGTTGTACCTGAAGTTCTCCTCCACCTATGAAGAAATAAGTGATCATTATGTTGTGTTTCCAGTCCACGTCACTCTTCCATCCCGCACGCAAAGCTATAAAAGCGAACGGAGATAACTTTTACTGTCTCCACGTCTGTATACTGAGCTGGCTTCCTGGTGGCTTTACAAAGGTCATTAAAGTGGTTGTTAAGTTACAACAATGTGCAAATGTTCTCTACGGCTTATGTCAGCACCATAATCCTGACACCCCAGAACAAAAGGATTTGTTAGCATCAGTTCTACAGAACTATCATCCACTTTGGAGTTTTATATACTGTATGCACAGCAAAGTGTTCCAGTACCACTTCTCCTGTCCTGTATGGCGGGTGTCATTCTCAGTATCTGTTCTTATTCTGTATGCATGGACTCTGCACAGTACCACTTCTCCTGTCCTGTATGCCGTGTGTCATTCTCAGTATCTGTTCTTATTCTGTATGTATGGACTCTAGATAAGAAACCACTTTGCATGTCCTGTATGCCGTGTGTCTACAGATCCCATAAATCCATAATTATTCAGCAATGGAGAATGCCAACCAGCAATAGAGGACTACAGAGCCCATCAATCCATGATTATTCAGCATTTATACAGGGCTGCATGCAGATCTCACCAGGGTTGATCAGGCTCCAGGGTTGTACGGCAGTGTGGGGCTGTCCACTGTTGTGCCTGTCTCTGCGGGCGCCGGGAAGGAGGAGGAGATGTGGGGTCGGACCGATGTTGTCAAAGACAGCTACGGCGAGGTCCCTACCATCCTGCCTGAGATCCCCAGCAAGCACATGACCTCAGGTACCCGAAGTTGTTTAAAAAAGGAAAGGGCCGGCAACGGCCTTTAGTATCAGGGCATTTTCATAAGTACAAGTCTATTGGACCCAAGTACTTGTGAAAATGCCCTGTATCGGCCCTAATACCGATGCTAGTATGGGTATCAGGACATCCCTATTCTGTATGTATGGACTCTGCACAGTGCCACTTCTCTTCAATCACTTAGCTGAAGTTTGAGCAGTTTGTTGTCCTATGAATCTCTGTGAACGTTCATTGTGTGTGAATACTGTAGAGGCAAAAACATATATCGTTCAGTTGAATTACCTGTAATACCTCATTATGACCACAAGATGGCACAATTACCTAAATATTTACCTCCTATGTTCCACAGCTCCATCTAGTGGCCATAATGTGGTATTACATTACATATTACCTCAAAAGAAAATAAACTAAGAACATTCATTTGTTTTTTTGCCTCTATTCGCACAGAACGATGGTTCACAGAACTTCACAGGGCAGATGGCTCTGCAAATTGAATCAGCATGCTGTCAGGGACTTTTCTTATTGTCTGTATATAGAATGGGTAGAAGCTGCAGTGTTGTCAGAGGGATCCCCTCATCCACATGTACTGTGTATATTTTACTGTATGAGCCTGAGCCGGCAATCATCTGACAATAGTGCGCTCCCCCCGTATGTATACGGTAATCAAGTGACCGCTAAAATAGCATCCAATTGTTATCCTGCCAAAGCAGAGGTGATATTTTCCACCGCCTGGTGCCAAGTCATTATCTGTTCCTTCACAGATATCTGCCATCTTTGTGGAGACATCTTCTCCTTCTTTCCCCCACCCCCCTCTGCCAATCCCTGCACTGGCTTCCATACCCCCCCCCCCTCTGCCAATCCCTGCACTGGCTTCCATACCCCCCCCCCCTCTGCCAATCCCTGCACTGGCTTCCATACCCCCCCCCCCTCTGCCAATCCCTGCACTGGCTTCCATACCCCCCCCCCCTCTGCCAATCCCTGCACTGGCTTCCATACCCCCCCCCCCTCTGCCAATCCCTGCACTGGCTTCCATACCCCCCCCCCCTCTGCCAATCCCTGCACTGGCTTCCATACCCCCCCCCCCTCTGCCAATCCCTGCACTGGCTTCCATACCCCCCCCCCCTCTGCCAATCCCTGCACTGGCTTCCATACCCCCCCCCCCTCTGCCAATCCCTGCACTGGCTTCCATACCCCCCCCCCCTCTGCCAATCCCTGCACTGGCTTCCATACCCCCCCCCCCTCTGCCAATCCCTGCACTGGCTTCCATACCCCCCCCCCCTCTGCCAATCCCTGCACTGGCTTCCATACCCCCCCCCCCTCTGCCAATCCCTGCACTGGCTTCCATACCCCCCCCCCCTCTGCCAATCCCTGCACTGGCTTCCATACCCCCCCCCCCTCTGCCAATCCCTGCACTGGCTTCCATACCCCCCCCCCCTCTGCCAATCCCTGCACTGGCTTCCATACCCCCCCCCCCTCTGCCAATCCCTGCACTGGCTTCCATACCCCCCCCCCCTCTGCCAATCCCTGCACTGGCTTCCATACCCCCCCCCCCTCTGCCAATCCCTGCACTGGCTTCCATACCCCCCCCCCCTCTGCCAATCCCTGCACTGGCTTCCATACCCCCCCCCCCTCTGCCAATCCCTGCACTGGCTTCCATACCCCCCCCCCCTCTGCCAATCCCTGCACTGGCTTCCATACCCCCCCCCCCTCTGCCAATCCCTGCACTGGCTTCCATACCCCCCCCCCCTCTGCCAATCCCTGCACTGGCTTCCATACCCCCCCCCCCTCTGCCAATCCCTGCACTGGCTTCCATACCCCCCCCCCCTCTGCCAATCCCTGCACTGGCTTCCATACCCCCCCCCCCTCTGCCAATCCCTGCACTGGCTTCCATACCCCCCCCCCCTCTGCCAATCCCTGCACTGGCTTCCATACCCCCCCCCCCTCTGCCAATCCCTGCACTGGCTTCCATACCCCCCCCCCCTCTGCCAATCCCTGCACTGGCTTCCATACCCCCCCCCCCTCTGCCAATCCCTGCACTGGCTTCCATACCCCCCCCCCCTCTGCCAATCCCTGCACTGGCTTCCACCTGCCCAGAGGATAAAATTCAAAATATTAACAATCACTTATAAAGCCATCTATAACTCCGCCCCCAGCTATCAAGGCCGGCCTTAGGGGTGTTGGAGCGGTGAGGGGGAGAGAAGCCGCGCCCGCAGCTGTCAGGATGGCTGAGCGGGGAGGAGATCAGAGCCGCTGTCATCCTGTCAGTTTCAGGATGACAGCGGCTCTGTGCGTGGCAGATTTACATCACATCCTGTTCATTCAAGATTTCCTCAATGGGAAGAAGCAGTCAGTACAGAGGCTCCTCCCCATTCAGAAACTGAGTGGAGCCTCTGCACTGAGAGCTTCCCATTCATTGAGTGCTGAGGCTGCTGAAAAAGACATTGAGGATTTGGTGTCCTCAATTTCTTTTCTATTTTAAAAGGGAAATGTCCGGGGTCTGTTTGGACCCCTAATATTTCCCCAAAGCCCCCCCAACAGTGAAAAATAAATAAATAATAGAAATAATGTTTTTTTTAAATAAAGTGAAAACTGCCCCTCCCCCCCACACACACACACACATATTATTAGACATGTGCGAAGCGAAGACTAAAAATTCACTTCATATGAAATTAACGAAAACTAAAAACGTTTAATTCGTTTCATCAAACAAAACACTTTTTTATGCTATTTTGGATTCAGCCATTGGCGTGCT